ACGGCCCCCTCCGCGCTTCGGCCCGGGACGAGAAACTTCCCGCGAGTCCCCCGACGGTGCGGTGGTGTTAGACCTCAAGCAGCCATGAAATTTCCTCGGTAAAATCAGCGGAGTCGGAGCATTAGCCGTAAACTCTTTAAGGGATTTGCATAAAACTGTTCGGGAAGAAATTCCCGACGCTAAAATAGCTTCAGGGCGAGCGGGGAACCTGCCTTTTTTTTTTTTCTTTTTTCTTTTCTTTCCTTTTTTGGTTGTTTTTTCTTTTTTTTCCTAAAGATCTGGTAATGAGGGCAACCTGATTTTCATTATTATTTTTGGTATCTTTTTACCAAGAGTGTTTTGACCGCTGAAGCTCCAAATATTTTCCAGAAATAAGCCCCTTTCGTTAAATGTAGGGCACTTCTGCCAGAAACGCTTCACAAAGCCCCATATTTATTAGCATTGTCATAAAACGGTCATTTACACAAACGTTTCTGGTGCAGTTGCCTTCCAAGCGACTGAAGAGGGAAAAGAAAGATGCTTATCTCTTGCCCTAACTTTTTTCTTTCTACAAGAAGCTGTAGCACTGTGATCAATAAATGAGCATCCATACAATGACTTTCCTTCTTTCTCTTCTTCTTTTCTGGTGGTGGATTCCCTGCGGTCAGGTTTCCAGGCAGACTCAAGCGCAGGATTCCTACCATGATAAAGGCAGAGAGCACGCTGAGGAAGGTGAGAAGCGCACGGTCCTGTCTTGCGATATTGTCCCTCTTAGTCCCCCTGTGAGCCTCCGCACGGTCCTCAAACTGGAGCTTGGTTTCTTTTGGGAAACATAAATTTAGTACCTTTTGGGGAAGGGGGATGCCAGGGTGCTTTCAAAGCGCATTTAAAAAGGAGATGAATGGGCAGCACGTTTATCTTGAGTGACCAAATGGTATTTCAGTTGTTTAGAAACTGATAAGTAGGCCAAATGGATCTTCGCTGAAGAAATAACTATTTTTAGGATATCAGCTTAAACACATCTATCTCTTCACTCATACAGTGCAGCCGAGTTGTGTGTGTTCAGAAACTCTGTGCTTTTTTCCCCATAGCCAAAGTCTGTTGCTTAAATCTCCTCTTCCAAATCTGAGCATGAACAGACCTCTTGCTTTTTTTAATGTACCAGCTGGTTAATTTTGATTGAGGAGGACAGAGGAAATAGCAGAGTTCGTTGAATATCACTTAGGAAGCTGGACACGTGTACAAAGAATGTGTGCTGTGAAGGATGGGAGATAATGTTTGAAATGAAATGCTTATCATCACGAACTAAACCAGATCATAAATTCCATATAAAGGCAGACACAGCTCAGTCCTGGTGCTTTCCGGGGCACTGTGGCGATCTTTCTCCAAATTGGTCATTAAACAGCCTAAAAGCAGTAATGTCCATGCTCGTAGCATTTTGGCAGTGAGGGGGAGGAGGTCAGCTCTGTATAGTTTTCTTTTCAGCCTTGCATCCTCTTAAAACCTCACCTTCGAGTAGTATCATTGTCAACGGTCATATAGGTGGGAGACCCGTTCACCCCCCTTTTCAGGACCCGGACCCAAATTCTTTATTTTCCTACAAAATAGCCTCCCTCACTTGGCTTCCCTCTTGACTGTAGTGCCATGTGTGTTCAACAGCCCCCCCCTCCAAATCATTAGGGTCTCCTTCCAAGCCAGCCCCTGCCCTCTAATTGTTCCCGGTGAGCGTGGCCAGAATGAATTGTTTGCTGCGCACAGTGGCTCAGCGAGAGAAGGAAATGATGTTGGGCAGTTATCACTGCCCTGTTCCTCCCTTTCCTAACAATGATGTTGGAAACCCATGCTGGCAATACTTCTGAATCCACAAATCCTAGAGGGATGTATAAAATGGGGGAAAACTGCTACTTGAGAAATGTGATGTCATTGCTGATGTTTCTGCCTTCATTTGAACAGGGACTAGCAAAATAAATTGGTTACTCTGAGGCTATTCTGTATTTTAAGCCTAAACTCCTCACTGAGAGTACTTGCTCCTTTAAGAATTAACTCTTCTTAAAAAAATGTTATTACAAATTGCTGCGGACCACTTTCTGTCAGAAGTCATTTCCATGAGTAAGGAAACGTTTGCATGCAGAACATTTTTATGAATGCACAGTACCTGTTTAAGTGCTCTAACTTACAAGAAATGCGTATGTGGGGAATAATGTAATCATTGTTTCCTCTTCCATAGGAAAGCATCCAGACAGTGGCTTATACAGCAAGGGACCATCATACTCTGGTTATTCTGGGTATATCATGATGCCAAATATGAATAACGACCCGTACATGCCTAATGGATCTCTGTCGCCACCCATCCCCAGAACAGTGAGTTATCTCTTCCAAAGACCGGTTTTGGCGAGCTGGGTTTCCTCCTGTGCGGTCTGCAGTGCGTGCTCACGCCGGGGCTTTTTGGGTAGCTTCAGTTACGGTGAAGGTTGCGCTTCTGCTGTTCGGAGCCTCTGTCCAGTGGAGTTCGAGAGCTCTTAGAGGTGTTGGTCGCGATTGTGGTGGAAAAGCCGAGATTTAACGTCTGTGGTGTCTGACGTCCTTTGAACAGGGCACGGAGCTTTGGGAGGGGGGGGGAGCCCTGGTTTACGACTGCAGGATAATGTATGGTGGAATGATGTAAATGCCGTCTTTGTAGTGACTGGGACAGATGTGAATTTTCTGGGTTTAACTCTTCGTTTGTTGAGGAAAATCGAGGGCTGGAAGCAGAGCTGCTAAAGTTGCTTGTCTGTAAGATGAAAAGATTTGATTCTTTTTTTTTTTGCCTTCAGATATGGCATTGCTCTTTGCTGATTGATATTTATTTCTGCCATCAGTTGCTCTGCGTGAAGGCTTTATGTATCTGGCAGTATTGCTTTGAAACGTACTCTGTATCTTCAGACACAAGTTGTGAAATGGTCATTTAGGAATTAATATCAACTGTGATGCAATAGTTACAGGTTTCCTTTACGTTGTGGCGGGCACTGATTCTTCCAGGTTGGTCTCTCAGTTTCCATTGGTGTAGATGCACATTTGATGGATTTCAATATACTTTTAATTTTGGATAGTCAATTCCCATTTATTTTTATAAACCTCTTGGTATATGTATAGAGCAATCAGGAGACAATGTTAAAATGAGCTGTGGAAATTATATTAGTAGAACCGGAGTGGAGCAGGAAACAAATTTTCTTGT